ACTAAATAATTTAGACCCAGGAGAGCCACAGTTGGCAAGCCGTGCTGAACAGGACCAGGCAGGAGAGGAGAGGGTGACTGATACAACTGTGCCATCTACTGGTGGAGAATGGAAAGTCAAAGTTCATTTAGATTGTGTGCAATTTGTGTGAGTATTTGTGAGGAGAGTTACTGAAAGGAGCAAGGGATGAAATGCAACTTCCAACCTTCCAAGAGGTTTTGTTGCTACAGCCTTTCTTGGTCTGGTGTGACCAGTAGCTAATGGTGGCTAACTTGAGGTAGATGTGGCTGTGTGGCTGACGTTAGCTATTGAGTCAGTGTGATGACTCAGTTGCTAATGTGCTGCTGTAACAGTATTTTTTAGCATTTAGTACCACTACTAGCCACCTTTCATCAAAGGTTAGTGCTTTAAAATGACTCTTTTATTCAGCTTGTAGAAACTAGTTTAGGCTTAGAAATTAAGGTTAAATTGAACAAAATCCTACTTTTTGAGGCTGTAAAATGGCTATACAGTTCTCTTTATAATATATATAAATCACAGGATTTGAATTACCTTATAGCTTGAACTATAGGTCACAGTTGCTCCGTGTATGGGCTGACAATCTGGACTGTCAACCCGAACCAGTGATGTACAGGCGGGTATTATTATGCATCAGAAGATAAGGGTTTGATTCTAAATTAGTTTATAGTTAGGGATGGCTTTAGGTTTAACGTTATGGTTACAAAAAATTTTAGGGAACTTAATGCTACATATGTAATGGCCCCTGTAGTTGTAGGTTTCAATTTAGGTTAAATTTTAAATTAAAATGTGGGTGGAAGGTCCTTAGAAATATAGTATTGCAACCAGTGCCAAAACTGACAAAAAAAGGAGTTAGTCCAATTTAAATCAGCTATGATGAATGTTATCTATGTCTTATATATCTTATAATGTTTACACTGGAAAAGAATTCCTTCTGAAAACATATCTAACTAAAATAACATGTTAGTGTGAAATCAACCATCTTATCCAAAGGTTTTTTTTGCATCAGCAGCCTCATCATCCTCCCTTTCCTCCCAACTGTCCTATAATTGACTCTGAATACTCTGCCAGTTGCATAAGACACGCGTGGTTGTGCAACCCTCTAGAAAATGCTGGCCTGGGATTAAGAGGTTTATTACAGGGTTTCTAAATGAGCGCAGAGGGAGGATTTGGGAAATCTCAACAGCAGTAGTTTTGCTAGAAGACATCTGAAGAGGATCACAGGCCAGAAACCCATTGTGTGTGTATGTCATCGTTTTTGTGTGTGTTAAGCGTGACTAAGGGAAATCCCGTCTAAAAGCATTAGTCCCCTTGTTTGCTGCATAATCTCTGATGACTGTGCAAACCCTGAGTGGTTTCCTATCAGAGCTTTGAGTATTAACAGATCAAGTATTGCATGGTTATTTCCAATGATACATCAGCATACATGGATGAGGTAAAAGGCCTAAAACATAGACACAGACAGATTTCAGTTACGTCTGTGCCAACAGGAATAATGTGGAATGATGCCTTCAAAATGATTATGTAATAGGGATTAATAAGATATTTCTGATTGATTCTACATTGAATCAAATAATTTCATGACAAATTGGTTTTCTGTGGAAAAAAAACCCCATAATTCTAACTGAACTAGGGAAAAGGTAGTGTTGACTTAGTGCATTGGCAGAAGGAACAAAATACAAGGTTGAACAATCAATTACTTTGACCAGACATTTTCATGGAAACATTTACATAGACTGTTTCTGCTAATGTATGATTAGACTTAGATTTATGTATGACAGTTATCATTGCTTAAGTTGAGAGGTCCCCCTCGTGTATGTAAATGGTGTTGAACAAAACACCAGCAACACCATCCACTATAATGCAGTGCACCTCAGTAGGGAAATTACATCTTTTCTGATTAGCTGACTGTTTTCTGAATAGTCAAATAAAAATATATCAAAAATCAGTAAACAATCAGAAACCAAATCCTGCAAGGTTGGATGGTGGATGCTGGTAGGCAGGGCTTGGGGCATGGCTGAGGGTGGTGACTGCTTTGTTGTGACATCACAATGTTATGGAAGTCCTGATGGCTTGTTTTAAGGCTCAGTTTCTGAATACAGAAACTGTGCATTTCTCTGTGGACTTAGCGCTTTGATACTTTCACAGTATTAATATAGAACCTAGACCTGCTTTATAAGCAAAGACCACATGGAAATCTCACATGATACAATATGGGACCTTTAAACCAGAAACTGTTTTTTAGCCACTTCGGGGATGCAAAACTAAGCTGTAAACGCAACACTGACATTTTATCACCTTTCAAGTTGATATGTTAAACTTGTTGGCAAACAGTTGCCTATTTACGTACCCAATGATTATGTAGCAACAGTAGCATTCATTTGGAGTTGTGTTTCTGGCTACCCAGCAAATACACATCCAAAATTCACTCTCCTTTTAGCTCTGTTTTGGTCGCCACCAACATCAGAGTCAAATATCTGGCTCTCTAGCTGCTATATGCCCCATAATGTGCACCAGCTAGGCGCTAACTTTGTCTATCTGCTGTTTAGTGCTGGATGATGAGAGCCGTGACAGTGAACCAAAACAGAAAAGTTGTGGGCAGTAAAACCAAAATTAAGAGCTGAAAGACAACAAAAAGACAAAGCTTTGTAGAGCTGAGGGGAACTGTCCTGTAATAATTCTGTGTTGGTTCATCACAGCAAGCATCCCCATTCACACAATAGTAGTCATTTGATCCGTTGCTGAAAGAATTGAAAGTATTGAATATAGCTGCTTGAATGAACTTCAGTTTCCATAGTTCGATGTTTCCTGAAAGAAACTGTATGTTTATATAAATCTAAGAGTGATTTCAGACATAATGGCATAGACTCTCTACCTGCATACAAGTGGTACCCAGCAATTCTTTATATAGCAGATTGAAATCACTGTTAATTATTCTAATATGTGGTAACAAAGAATTACCTATATTATTTGCTAGAGTCAACTCATAGTTTCCAAGCTGTTTTTCATATCATCTGATCAGTCATGCAAAATACTATAGAGTCTAAGACTCTAAGACTAAATATAGCCTAAAGGTCTGCAGAAGGTACAAATGGACTGGGTATGGAAAATCTTCTCTCCCAGTGCTGCAGAGATTTGCCTACACAAATGTGAAGGTAATCTAAACCAGCACTATGTGTCTTTGCCTACAGTAGCACCTTTAGCCACACAAACATGAGTTTCTTGTCAGCATAAGCTGCACCTGGATGACGGTAAGACACAGCTATGACTTTTTCTGTCTGTTTCAGTTTTTAAATGCGGAATGGAACCTTGATTAATGTGGAAAAAGTGCTGGCAATGCTTTAAAGTCTGATCCACTTTCATGCTAACATGATGAGTTGTTATGTAGGCAGCTGATGGTGTGATTTTGGTGCTAGTGAAGAGGTGTCAGCATGGCAGCCGCAGGACAATCAGGCCAAAGCTCTCGTAAGGACAAGACTATACACTGATCCTCATCGGCCTCATTGGTAGTCAGACAGCAGAAACAGAAAGTACTTGTGATTACATCCCCGTAATCTACAGTCTCATCTCAGGGGTCAAGAGTCAAGTCAACTCCCGTTTCTCTCCTGCTTTCTATCCATTTCACCCTTCGGTCTTTCAAACCCCTCTCCTTTTTTTGTCTTTTTGACTCATTTACAGTGTAAGTGCAGTGACAAGAGGATTGTCAGAGGAATCTCTTAAATCAAGACCACTTCATCACTCCGAAACATGATTGCTGAAATAAGGGGATAACTTGGACGACAGCAAAGGCTCCCAACTTGGATTCTGGTACTTACAGAAGACGAGAAGAGTCTCACAGACTGACACGACAACCATGCAAAGGTTAGCGCTTCAAAAACTCAAGTCTTTATTCATCTGTTCTGCCTACTTGAGCTCACTGACTTATCTTAGACTTCAACTCACAGTTACAAGAGGTCAAACACAGAGATGACAAGGACAACATATGTTACCTATGGCTAGGTTAGGTTTAGATCAACAGTAATGAGGTCATATATAGTTAAAATGGTAGATCTTCTGAAACAGAAATGACATACACAATACACTCAATGTAATTGTATCTATAGAGTAGATTCTGTTAAACTACTATTTAAAGAGCCCTGTCGGAGTCAGGGCCCCTGAGGCCATGCCCTTGTAATTTTTCCCTTGAACCATGGACAATTTATATTTTACAGGTAAAATCTTTCAAATTCTTGGCTAATTCAACTATTTTCCCATCAGGATTCAATATTTTCCCACTAGAATTTCATTCCTGGAAGTGTGAAGAATAATACTAATAATGGTCTGAAACATCCTTATAATTTCATAAGAAGTCATGAAAGAAACTATGCAATTTGGTAGGGAAACAAACAAAGTTCAGTTAGTATTTGTGTTGATTTTTAGAGGGATTTCTTTAAAAGAACTGCTCCATTTCAATGAAATAGAAAAATTATTCATGAGTATTACAGAATCAGCATTTGGAACTAATAGGAAAAGAGACTAATGGGGCATTTTCACATCATATTCAAGCATTTTTGTAAATATGTTTGAATAGAAGAGCTAATGGCTAAAATCAATGCACCACATGAGTCAGTAGGAATAATATTACCGCAGTAATATCATCATTTGTCTCTGGGGTTGATTCACAGTAATGTCTAATTACATCATAATGAGGCCATTGTTTACCCACCTGTTTTATAATTTAGCACTACATGACAGTGGCAGCCACAGGGCGGTGGTAAGGAGAGGTGTCTGTGTCTGAAGCATCATTCACTACTAACGGCCCCTTTAAGACGGCGGCACCGAACACTGACGAAATTTCCTCGGCCCTGCTGCCTTGGCTGTTTCTGCGAAATCAACAAGAGGCGAAGGCAAAGCTGGTATCTGCAAGCTCCGGGCCAACTACGCTGGTCAGGGCAGCTCTCTCCAGAGAGGAGGGGGACGCAACTGGTATTTTTTTTTTTTTGTCAGTGTCTGCCTGTCTAACTGCTCAGCACTCAGCAGGAGACGACATTTAGCTCGTCGCTGAACAGAAACGAGCGGATATTGTTGGGATGGATGGACTAAGTGAGCAGTTATCGCCGTGAGACTGGCGCTAATTTGGACGTCCTGAGCAGCAGGTGTACTGAAGGATAAAGCAGACTAAAGGCAATCTCAGTGTTCATGAAACTTTGCTACGATTTACGTGCTGGGTAAGAGCGCTTTTCCCCCCTCCCTTTACCGTATTCAAATGTCTACTGTTTGAGAAAGAAATAATGAAGGGTATTGTTTTATGTCATCGTGTCTGTCTCTTCGGGGTCATGCTAAATGCGGATTATTTGGTTTTCATGTTGTGTCTCCATATGTTACAGATAAAAAATAACATGTCCGACAATTTGATGGTTTATTGAAGCAGTTAACTCCAGGCCTAACTTCAAACTCCACCGTTTGATTTAAACGTCTGTCTAACGGTCACATTTGTATTCAACATTGTAGTTTGGCCTAGCTAACGTCAAACTGTATCAGTGTTGAATGAAGCCGTTAAGTCTAACGGTCGTCCGCTGTCTATTCAGTTTTTTAAAATAACGTCCATTGCCGCTTTTTTAATAGCACCATGTCGTGTTTTCTGTGTGTTGAAGCCCTAGACAACACTAATAACTCTATCCCTGAATAATGATATAGCCTAGCTACTTTGTTCATATTTTTAAAATACATTTTAGGCAGCCACTGGTTCAGTGTTTCATTCATGTTCGTGAGCTAAATGAAACTTGACCTGTAGTTCACCACAGGTGAATTATGGATATATGATGTTAGACATGAAACATCATGCCTCGTTTTATGTTTGGTCCAAGTTGAATAATGTACCTGAAAGTGCTTAATGATTTGAAAAGTATTGGTGTGGTGTGTTCATGGACAATAGGAAGCTCTGACGTCTAAGATTTGAGATAGTGTTCTAAAAGGTGCTGTCAGACGTTAACTCCCTTATTCATATTCAGTGGAGAAGTGGGGACAGGCTTTACATTCCTGTTCTGAATTGATACTGATTTGATTACACTTCCACCATTGTTCATCCAAACTGAGAGAGGGGGCAGATTGGCCAGTTGTTAAGGAAGAATTGATTGTTGATATCCTTGTTTATATAACTGCATGGTGAAATAATAGCAGCAGAGTAGGAGGGATGCTGCATGACTGGCAAGGAGTACAAGGACAGAGTTTAGAGGGTAAAAACAACAAAGACACTGCAGGCTGCAGAAAGCCACTAAACTCGCATGATCTTTTTCTAAACTTTCATGTTTGCTAATGTCACTGTAAGTGACTAAATTCATCATCTCAATCCAGCCTCAGTGGCACACTTTAATTTGGGTCATTCTTACTGTCTTCACAAGATAATTACAAGTTCAAGATGTTCTCTGACATGTTTTAGAACCAATGGAGACTGGTTTGAGACTGACAAGTTTTTTGTTGTCACTGCATATCAGTCGTGTTTATAACCAGTTAAATGCCATACACATCATGCACATGAGTTATAATGTTGGAAAAAAGCTACACTGACATAAAATAACCCAAACATGATGTTGGCTTTGAAAAATGCGTGCCATGACTGGCTTTTATTCTTGTTCAGCCAACTACACGTTGCCCAGAGGGTTGCATTAGTGGGCTAGATAAAAACAAATGCATTCTTCTTGTTCCTACCATTTCCTTATTACTCTTTTCTCCAAAATTGTTGACCGCCTGGGACTCTACTTGTGCATGTTTCTCTGTGCTTGAGGCCCTTGTTTAGCCTCCGACTACAAACAGAACAGAATGTGTCTAATTGGTCTAATTAAAGTCCATCACATCTGCACCCTCCACCCTCCTTCCTCCCGTTCCCTCCCCAGGGTTGACATCAAATAGAAAGAAGAAAAGAAGAGGCTTGATGAAAACATTTACAATAACAATGTATATATCAAGCTTGAGATTGTGTTCCAGCTTAATAAGAATGTGGATACTCAGTAGCTACTTGTATTTGGCAGTAATTGGGCAGCTTAGTGGGAGAGATAATACAATAGTTGCCTGTGGGCCAATTGAAAAATATTCATCTTTCTGTTTTCTCACAGTGGCACCAGGCAGCATACTTTGTTTCAATTCTTTTATTTGTTTTTTAAACCATCTGTAACCTCTCACTTCATCATGAGTGCAGGAAAGTGAACTGAAGAAAAGTTGCAGCCACTCATTGGAACATCCTGGTCAGTGCTGGCAGATGAGATATTTAAGGGTCTTGTTAATCCCTCTTTCTCTGTGTCTCTCTGAGTGTTTGGTGAACCTTGTTGAAGTTGAGAATAGCTGCACAGGCAAGTTTCTCGCTAGAGTGAGCCTTGTTTCTGCAGAAACTAAGTATCATGGATGATGATGGTGACAGGATGGTCTTTCGTGGTTTATGCAGCACATTTGAGTGAGAGCACCTGTAAAAGGAAACATGGTTTGCATCAGTTACCAGAGCGGAAACACTACAGTTTAGCATTTCCACCTAACAAGTAGTAATTGTCAAAGTTTCTGTTATTATGAAACAAAACCTGACTTATGTCCCAGAAAATACACTTGCATAGAAAGTGGCCTACTTGTGCGAGCGCTCTAGCCTTTATTGTGCTCAACAGTATATGCCTGTTTGAGTGTATCCACTGCCCCCCCTTCTCTTTCATGCATGTCTGATAGCCATCAGTGAAATAGGATGTAATTGTAGAAAGAACCACTATACCAGGCTAGTCCTCTTAAAGATGTAGATAACCAGGGACGATGATGAGGCCATGCACCTGAATAGTGTAAGATGAGAGTGTTGGTGTACAGCTGAGAACATGCAGGTTTATTAGCCAACCAATCAATGCCCATTATAAGCCAATCAAATTGATACTGAGATGATATTAATGTACATAGAAGAATGAAGAATGTCTGGATATTGCATGCTAAGTCTGTAATCTTCGCTTGTGATCTAAGGTTGCTCAACTAGAAGGAGGGTTATTTTGCAGAATGTTATAATCACACTCATTAAACTGCTATTATATAATAATATTATTTCATGTATGGTATTTTGAATATTTTTGACCAACAGTGGACATCTTAAATCAAAGTTACAATCCTTCACATTTCAGTCCTAGTTGATTTGGGAACACGCATGGTTACCGTGGTAACAGCAAGTGCAATTTAATACTATGGCAAACACTCCTTGAACAGCTCTTTTCTCAAAAATACAACAGAAGAGCAACAGTTTGTTTTCAAAAATGCTGAAGATGACTGTGTTGTTTTGTGTACATTTTTGAATGAATGCGATTTGCACTAACAATGGAGGAAAATACATTGCGTTTACTGCTACTTCTTTACAATAAAAATCACCCCTTATATTTTCAAGCTGAAAATTTTCATGTAGAGCAACAGCAGTAGGGTGTTCTGTGCGCATTAGCAGTAGCTTTATATAGCTCTGACACAGTGTAAAGAGAGTGAACAGTAAACAGTGAGGTTGATGTCAATGTGTCAATACATGCATGCATTGTTTGCTGTGATAATTTGAATGCGGCATGGGAATGGCAGACCCCACCACTAACAATGAAAATCAGTATATTTAGAGATTGAATTATGAATTTAAGTAAATTAAGCAGTCAGCGCACAAAAATGCTGTCCATAAATAGTATCAAAAATGAATTAATTCAGTGAAATTGTTTCACGAAATGTTTGACCCATAGTGGGCATTTTAAATTAATGTATTTCATATTGTCAGTTTTGGTCATTAAATATTAATTATAGAATTGCAGCTTATTTTCTTGATTCATCAGTTGGTCTAGCAAAAAATAGAAATAAAGAAAACAAAGAAAAGAAAATCACAATTTCCCAGAGGACCAAAAAAGTTCAAGTTCTAAGAATCTGATCAGTAGTCTAAAACCAGATATTCTAGATATTCTATTACTGTTGAAATAAAACAGAGAAGCAGCAAATCCCCACATTTCAGAAGCCGGAACCATCCTATGTTTGGCTTGTTTACTTAATAAATGACATAAAAGATAAATCAGCTACCAAAATAAAAGCCAGTCAGCCTCAGATGAGACCTTTCCATGATTGTCTTGTGTTATAAAATTGAGAAACACTGATGTAGGGCAAAGGGCTTTAGATGGCCTCTATCAGTCTGAGATCCACAAATGACTGTGATTGGCTGTTTCTGCGAGTGTGACCTCTTTGGCCAAGAGTAACCTCCAGCTACTACAGGTCATTAGCAGAAGGTTACTCAGACAGACATAAGTACACACACACACACACACACACACAAACACACACACAGACACACACTCAGATACAGTGTATTACGCTTGTACAGGACATACACGCTGGGCTTGTAAAACTACTCACCCTTGACTAATGTATGCAGTTATAAACAAATACTATCAGCAATACCCTAGCTGGTGTGTTAGCAGTGACATGATTAGGTAAAGGTGGATGGAGGTATCTTTGTGTAAGTACATAGCTGAGCAAATGACTCATGGAGCCTGCTTGTGTGTATCCCCACACTAACATTAACAGTGATCAGACCTTGAGCTAAAGCCCCTTCCTCCTCATCCTCCTCCTCCTCCTCCTCCTCCTCCTACTGTCCTCTCTTTTCATCCTCTATTTAAGATGATGTTGTGGTTGAAACTGGCTCTGGACTAAAGAAATCCTTATGAAGGAAATAAATAGAAGAAAGGTAGACTGAATAACACCAAAGTGCAAGGATGTAAAGAATAGCATCAGAACATGTAATGTACTCTTAAAAACAAGCTTACTTTCTACAAAGTATAGCTCTTTTCATAAATATTACCACTTACTTTCAGGTGTTAGAAGTTTTCAATGGAGCTCTGAATGAAAATGGCCATTTCTGGGGTTTATTTTTTGAGTAGGGACATGCTGATGCTTTTCATTCGCCATTTGTTAAAGCTAGATAGGTAACTACAGGGAGTTTGAGTTGACCAGTGGCTGACTGAGCTGTTGTATGGAGCAGGCTGTAAGTGGATTGAAGTGGTTATTGGGAGAACAGATTTCATTGTGGCAGGTGTCTTGACAAGAGGAGAGAAGTGTTTATTAACCTGCCATGTTTCCACTCACCCCTCAGGGAGGAAATTTCAACCCAGTCACCTCTGTAATTTCCACTTATTTGTGCCCCTGTAGGTGGGTTGTGTACATGTGGAAACACAATATTTGTTTCTAAATTTAAGGTCATGCATGAAAAACTTGCCTTTATGCCTGTCTATCTCTCTACTTACTTGTGGGTACATCTCCCTTCCCTTGATAACATCCATCTTTCCCTCCATACGTCTTTTCCTTCCACCTTAGTCCCTTGTGCTGAAGATGTAAGAAGAGGTACAAGGAAAACAGAATTTTTAGAGAAATGGAATTTGGACTTTGTATTTGCATAGATAATGTTCTCTCCAACTAATGAGGGCACACACAGTGATGTTGAAAAATGCAAATAGTCTATGCATGTTTCCCCTCCACATTTGAGAAGCTGGAACCATTGAATATTTGGCATTTTTGCTTAAAAAAAATCATAATCAATGACAATAACTTAAGAGGCAGAATAAAAACACTGGAATGTCCTTTGTGATGGCGGACCAGATCGACTTCTAGGTCCCGCGAGGAGTGAGGATTGATGAAACAAGGGAATGGGGATGTCCACTTTTTTCTAAAAAAGAAAGTGAGTGGGTCAGTGACTTTCTTTTTATTAATTTCTTCAGCCTAAACACCTTAATGAATTCCCAGTCAATGAGAAAACCATTCCTGTAGGTATTTAGACTGATGGATTACCAGTCAACAGTCTCTTGCCTTTTTTAGAAATGAAGTGAGTGAGAAAGTTAGACCAGCAGTCAGTCAGACAACAAGCCTCTCAACCATTCGGCTTATCAGTTTGCCAGTCATTCATAGAAAAAACTGTTCAACAGCTTATCAGTCGATAACCATCTTGGCAGCATGACAGCTAGTCATCCAGTCAAACAGATGAAGGATTACATCAAGAAGAACCACACTTAATCCCTTCCCAAATGACAAATCACAGCAGTGAAAAAACAAAGCAGTCATATTTACTGCAGGTTCTGTGGCTCCATGCTCAGCTGCTGAAAAGGATGATGGATCGTTGAGAGAATTTTTTTGACGTCCTGCACTCAGTCAAATCAGGAATGACCTCCACGCACAGTAAGAGTACTACAGGGGAATCCCACTGTTTTTTCATTCAGTCAGCACTTCAAAGAAAGACTTTAATGGACGTGGTGGCCAGGGGGTCAACACTTGGGGTGCAGTCTGAGTTTAATAAGACGGTAACGTGTATGAACTGGTAGCAGTGGGGAGACTAGCATACGTTTCCCAGTGACAGTTTAGCACCTGTTGCGTTTTTAAACTAGCTCCTATATCGATTCCTATCATGATCTGTTGGCTTACTTTTGGTGAGCATTAATGAAGTCAAACAACCTGTCTATATTTTGTTTCTATCAGTGGGATAAATTTTAATGCAGTGTCAAGCTACTGATGCCGAATGCAGAGGAAACGCTGCAGTAGCTTGACTCCTGTGCCTCTTGTGTGCGATGACACAAACAGCCCCACTGATCTATCTGTCATCATTACATCTCGGCCCTCGATACCAAAACACAACCATTAAGCTTTTCAAAACCTCTCACCAGCCACTGCCACTGCTCCTGCTATGAAAGTCGAATCAATAAATGAGGTCAGAAGATCTGCTGCTCTCAACTGTTTTTAGCGGAGGAGTGAAAGGATGTGGTTGTCATGGGTATAACAGGGTTAGTGGTTCTATCTTCCTGTGTAGGCCGAAGGGGGAGAGCAAATCACAAGCACTGACAAGGTTATAGCATTAATATCATTAAAGGTTAGAGGTTGGCTTGTGTTCGGCCATATGTCACCTTTGGGAAAATTAACTCAGGGCATAAAAAGGGAATTAATAAGGGTGTCCTTGTCAGGCAACTTTAGATATCAGGGTGAATAGGAAGCTAACATTGCTTTGAGATGCATTCCAAAATTAAATACTAAAAAAAAAATGTAACACCTACACCTTTTGATAAAATAAGTCAATGTACATATTGAATTATCACTTCCTTATCACCTTCCTTTTTAAAGGTGGGGATGACGGGTATTGATACTGATCAACCAACACAAGATGATGATATTTTTTTTGCTGAAACCACAAGACATTGCTGTGGTGATTCTAAGAAGCTTGTCTGTTTTGTTTTGTCCTAAACTATCTTTTCCTTAAAACTAATGTTGTATTTGGAGTAAGAAAGATCCAAGGCACTCTTCACAGCTTGAAAATATTCTTAACATTGTTTTACTATCTTTATACTTATTGACTTATCATAATCTTATGTTTTTCTTTAAGTTAAATACAGAAATTAAGCATTGTGTTTTTTGGGGGTCTTTGAGTCTCCCAGCTCTAAAACATGGTAAAATACAATGGGTTTTCATTTTCTCTACCTCTGTAATTAGTGTTGATGGAACATTTTATGCAACACTACCCCTCCCAAATCTCAAAGAAGTCAATTTGACTTTCTGTTGTTGACATATTTTAACATAATTTTATATTTGGGGTCAGTTAGTCCACTCTGACCCCAAATATAGAAAGAAACACAGTGGATTTGTCTGTGAATGACAAGATGCTATATTGGCCTGAATATAAGACAACCCCTTATTAAAAGACAACACTCCCTTTTTCAGCATCTGTTTTCGAGAAAAAGGCTTTTTAAAGCTAGGAAACACTTTTAAACTTGTCCTGTATTGAAAGTGGGAAAGTTTCCCCTGAGATACCACTGATAGAAGAGTGCTCGTATATAAATGATACATAAAGAAAACATGAAACCCACATTTGCATAGCTTGTCTCTCTCTCAGGCCCTTGGAAGTGGTTCATTTCTGCAGTAAAAACATAGGGACATGCTGTGAACTCATCTTCAATTGCCATGAATTAATTTCCTCCATGGCAGCTACACAGTTACACAATCTCTCAGAAACTCCTGCAGGTTAAACTGCGTTAAAACAGTTGTAAGGCAATGGGAAGGGTTTCCACTGTAATACTTTTCCACATATTGTGTTTTTAGAAAAGTCAGAATAAAATAAGTTTTCTGTGTTGCCACTGTATACTAATTGTCTTTTTATTGTCCATGCAGGGTTGCCGTCCGCCATGTTAAGGTAAAGCCCAGGTGTGCGGTGTTGACCATGCTAAAGCGCCTGGACAAAATCCGCTTCCGGGGCCCCAGGACGAGAGACGACTTCCCGGACCTGGCCGAGTCGCCACCCGCCTCTGACAACGAATGTAGCGATGACGTACAGCTGAAGCCCAGGGCAGCTCTGCGAGAAACAGAGGACCTCCTGCGAGACCCTGTGAGTACTAACCACACATTTATATCAATGTCTGTCACCCCCCCACACTTCATATGGCTTTGTATTTATCATCTTTACTGGGTAAACAGGTATCTTGCTTTTGTCGTAAATATACACATTTAGCCTCGACTGGCTAGGATGAGCAGACATTTTTTTAAATGTACTCATGAATTATTCCGTCTGATAAAGATTCTCTGACCTCATCATGACACTAGCATCATTTCCTGGCTAACACAAAAAAGAGGGTGGGAGAATGTGCAGTAGCCTCTGTTTCACCTCTCTGATGTTGTTTTAGCATCATTAACAAGATTAATGAATGTTTCTGGCGAAAATGTGATTCTTTGTTTTTTATCTAAGCCCAATTTTCTCTGCTCATACTTTGTGCCACAGAGCTGAAGAGGAGAATGATAGATGGAGGGGTTGTTATGATAAAGAAAAATGGAGGAGATGACAGTGATAAAGATTTTCCAATGGGGAACACGGAATAGAGATGGCAAACAGCAGCAGACAAGAGCAGAAATAGTGAAAGCAGCGGTGAGATGAACAGATATTGGAGAGCAGGAAGTGAATGAAAAATGGAAGGAGAGAAAAGATTAAAGCAGGGAAAGTGATAAAGGAGGCTAGAGGACAGGAATTAAGCCTCAGAGGACTGGACTTAGATGTCTAGAGGGGAGGAGATGAAGGCAGGATGAAGAGGAAATGTTGAGAAAATACAAACTCTCCCACTGTGACAAAAAAAATTCAGATCATGCTTTCTGATGTTTCCTCCTCCCACGCTGGATACTGTTCATATTTCATGAAATCTGCAGCTGTTTCGTCCTTGTGGATGACTTAAAAACACCAGCATTGTCATCATCATCATGCACGGGCACTGATAGGGAGATACCGGAGTTAAAAAACACTGGATTAGTCACTTGATTGTATCATTTCCTGAATGAAGGCCCCAGGAATCTCTGTCTCCCTTTCATTTTTATCTCCTTTGTTACATTGTTTCTCCTCAAACAGACAGCTGATGGAACTGTGGGTTTTCCTGCTTCCCATTCAAATATGGCCAAAGCCTGATGGTAAATGAGTGGTACTTAGAGAAATACACCATTAAACCTTAACAGCCTCCCTGCACCCACATGAGAAAAAAATAAACTGTGGCTTTTTCTAATTGGTTCTAGAGCTATTTTTTTTTAATCATTCATGTACAGTAGCTGACTATGGATATGTGCAACATGTGTCTGTTTTTGCATGTATGCACTTGAGCTTTCCTCTGTCTCCCAGTGTGTCTGTGAGCTGGTGTTTGTATGTCTGTATGTGCTCTAGTGTTTGCCTGCATGATTATCAGCCCACTGGGAAGGCATCGCCCACATCACGGCACTGATGAGTCACACTCTGAAGCCCCAAAATAGACCAAGCTAGCTCTTATCCCTGCTGGGACACACACTCACATACACACATGACACATGCACACTGTCTCCCACAAGGCATGCAGTCGCATTCAATGTCTAGGAGCTGCCTGTGCTTGGTGGAAATCTCATCGTCCCTGCGTAGTGCCCTTCATAGGCCCCTAGTGACACACTGGAGCCAACCCATACTGCAGTGATGTCTGTCTCTCCCGTCTCCAGGATCACACCACATGACCGGGGTCCAGACCTCACCTTCATTACCTCATCTGTCAAAAAGAGGACAGAGTGTACCCTTGGGCTGCAGAATCCATGAACTGAGACTTTATGACAAACTAGCCTGTGTTATCCATACTGAATAGGTAGAATGTCATCAGGCAGATGGTGTTCAGTCATTGCACAGATGACTGCATACGACCTCACTGGCCTCTAATCACTTTTCTTGCTTGATCAGGTGGCTTCCTCACTGTATCTGTCATACTTTGCCTTTGTATCCATTATCTATTCACACATAAAAAGTGAATATCATTTTATCAGCATTAATCATATAATATTAATATTGATAATGAATGTAATTAACAATCTCAAAATCTCATAAACTTAGACCTGCATAGTAGATTCATCCACAGTTTCCTTCTCTCTTCTCTCTGGGCATAAACATTTGTTAGTTGGGTAAATAAAAGAGAAACCCTCCACTGTTGCTGCATTAACACCTGCTCCACTCCTGCGTACAAATTAAAACTTAATATGGTTCCCTAGTTTTATTGATCAGAATTATATTGCCCTTAATGACCTGATCAGCATTATAGCCATTGAAATGTGAGCTGTAGTCAAACCAGAATACATATGATATGTATTTAAATTTGCCAGCTAACTGTATGAAAAGCTGTAAAATGCACCTTTGCTGCTGATGTTGCTCGAAGGGCCTGTGTTTGTCTTTACCGAGAAGACTGCTGCCTAAGTCATTGTGGTGGATCTGAGTTTTGTTCTGTGGTAAGAGATACCTGTCAGTTCCGAGTGTACCGTAGGCTGAAACTTTTTCAGGTTTAGTTTGGTTGTTTTGTTTTTTATATAAAGTGATTTATATTTTTCTGTATTTTTCTGTATTTATGAGTGCAGATGTGACAAAACTGTTGTCCTGATCCCCTGTCAGCAACAAACTTGAGTTCTTGTTAGACTGTGTTTGTATGTGCATCATTTTAAAAAGTCAAGAAATCACAGGGTTAACAGGAAATCAGGTTGGGTAGACAGGAGCGTGCATGGTTTCACTGGCAGGGGAGGAAATGTGAAAGTAGAACAGATAATTTCATATCTGTCAAGTCGAGTATAACCACATTATCTGTTACACTGGAAGCATTTTCTACCATCAATAGAGCATTTATCATTCACCTCTACTGACAAAGTATAGTCACAAAATCCACTGATCTTTTTACTTTGTTAATGGCCTCAACTGGTTCTTTTTGAAGAGCCGTACCACCTTTGCAGTCACATATTTTATAAAACACACATTAACAAACAGCGGTATGGTCTGTCAGTGTTCATTGTGTGAAAACATCTTCTGTGGTAGGCTAGATTCCTTTGTTAGTTGTTCATTATTGGACATCACAGATTGAAAAGTACCACCAGCACCCTGCTGGACAACACCAATCTGCCACAGGTCTCCTGTGATATTTGTGTTTATGAGCAGAGCAAGGCCTTGGAATCACACCTTGTGTATTTCACCTCCTACTGTTAGACTCACACTGAACCTCATGAGAGAGCTGTAAGCTGAAAAAGCACACGACTTTTCACACCAGAGAACAAGGAGCATGGAAAAAGCATTTGATGTCCCTGTGGCTGCTCTCTAGGATAAAAAACATTTCTGTGTCAGTTCTGTACTGAGGAACACCATGTAACCCATGGACAATGTCCTTAGAGGCTGAGTACGGGAAATGTGGAATTGTAAACCAGCCAACATAAACTACAACCCAAAATTACTAACCTTCAAAATTCTGACCATAAATCTGAGCACAAAGAGGAAGAATGGAGTAAAGGATCAAATGAGCGGTGCAGCAGACGACTGACGAGCGTGAGCAGGAGGTTAGAGAGATCAGTCAGAAGTACAGAAAAACACAGAAAAACCAGACTGAGTTCATCAAGCTCATTGAAGAGAAGCACAAAAGAATAATGACAGGATGAAAGCTTCATATTAGACCTGGAGCAGCAAATTGCTGACCTGAAGAAGAGAGATGCAGAGCTGTGTACAGAGTTGTGCCTCAACTAGACAAGCCAAGAGGGCTGGAAAGGCTGTGAGGATAGTCGAAGGGAATTTAAGTCTGAGAGACTGAGAAGAATCTTTCAGACAAAGAAGAGCTTCAGTAGTAAAGTTAAAGTTAAATGATAAACAGTCTTGACTTTGTTTTGTTTCTTACACATGAATATGTAGCTAATATTGTGTTTTCTTTGTTTCTTTTGTGGTAAGTGATTGATTGCAGTTCACCTAGAGTTGTGGATTGTGGCTTATTTGTTTCAGAAAATGCGTTTAGCAACATCTGTTCACCTCTGTTCCACAAGACAGAAAATGATTCTGATGTTCTGAATAAATTCTTCTCAGTTTCCTCATGTGCATCTTCAGTATGAAATGACTGAAGGCTGATGGTGGGTGTGAAGCACAGTGCAGTAGCTATTAATCTCACAGCACTGACGCTTTTTAAAGAATCTCATTAAAAGGTGATTTTCATGTGTATTCATTTTTGCATACATTTTATGGTTATAAGAAATTAAAAAAAAAAACTGCATACAGTGTGAAAATAATCATGGAAAAGATAATGGAGTTTTACAGTGGATTCCTCTGCTCACATCAGCCACAGCCACGAAAGAGGGAGAGGGGGAACACAATAATTAATCGGCCGATAATCGTCCAGGGTGACGTCAGGGCTTGACCTACTTTTGATGACCAGGAGCCTCTGACTAAGACTTGATGACTGTAACGAACACATGAAGGTGTTCCTACGTTATGTAGCAACCATTAGCGATAAGAAAAAAACAAAGCTGTCACAATCCAGACCAAAGAGCCTTGTCGCTGATTGCTCGTAATGCAGCAAATATTCTTTTCACTCCCGCCGTCCGATCCCTCCTCCACGTCCTCCTTGTCTTTGTCTTTTTTTTTTTTTTTTTTACCTCTTTTACTTTCTTTCTCTCATTTATCCTCCTGTCTCCATTTAATTCTCAAAACCTGAGTCAACATCCTTTTTCTTCTCCACGACACACTTCCAGAAGAGGCTCTCATTTGTTTTCTTTGAAGTGCTTCTTTATTCAGGGACACTCTCTCCATCTCTGTGTCTCTGTGTCTCCCCACCCGCCTCTCTTGTTACGTTTTGGTTCTTTCCCAAAGCACATTTTTTTCAGGTCACTGTCAGTTTTGTGCTCTCTCTCTCTCTGTCTCTCTATCTCTCTCTCTCTCTCTCTCTCTCTCTCTCTCTCCCTCCCTTGTTTGCTCTCGCTTTTGCAGAGAGCACATCAGCTAGAGACATTGCAGTGTGTCTATGCACACACACACACGCTGGTTGCTGTCGGGGAGAAGCTGCTGCAGCCGTGTGTGTGTATGAGTCTCTTAAAGGACCCTAGCTGTAGTTGAACAGTGAGGCTCAACCTGCAGTGCTCATCATCCTGCGAGCACAGCCATCTCTCCTCTCCTCTCGCACTCTCCTTTCCTCTCCCTCCATCATCTACTCACCCCTAATTCCTCACACTCTCCCTCATTCCTCTCTTCTCTCACACAGTCATCATTTCTCAATCACTGTCATTCACTCTGACCACCTCCACACATGTTGTGTTGCTAGTTGTGTGTGTATCTGTGTGTCAGGGTTAAACCCCTTAGTCAGAGGTGTGTGAGTCATCAGTGTTGCCGTAGTGAGAAGAGGGGGAATATCCTCTTTTTCGCCTCCCTCCTCCTATCTCACTCCTGCTGGACTTAAATCGAGAGAGGAAACATTACCGTGAGTCATGGTGCCATGCTTGTGTATATGTGTGTGTGTGTATTATGGGATATTACTGCTTGTGTTCTCTTGTATGCATTACATACAAGTACTGTACTTGTTATTCTAAAACCAAACATGTCTTTCTTTTGTTTTCTCTGTTTGTGAACGCAAATGTTTGGTGTGGTGTGTGTTATTGGTGTGTATGGACCTAATGAATTACATTTGTGTGTGGTGTGCGTGTGCGTTGGATAGCGGTATAAGTGTGTGTGTGTGTGTGTGTGTGTGTGTGTGTGTGTGTGTGTGTGCGCGCAGGCAGGTTCAGGGTCTCCCACCATGGCTGCGGCCATCCAGGAGTTCCAGAGGTCGGAGTCAGACCGACTCAATGAAGTCAAAGGTCACCTGGAAATTGCCTTACTGGAGAAACATTTCCTCAGTGAGTATACACACACACACACACACACACACACAAAGATAACACCAGACAAACAGACATTGTAGTGCTCTGTTGCTACAATGGAGGGTTACTTGATTGTCTAGGGGCTGCCTGTTTGGTATATCAACAAACATTTGCTGGAAGCCCACTGGTACATGTTAAGCCTTTCAGTAAGAGGTTATCATCAGTCTATGATGTTCAGTGTTCAGAGTTGCAATTTACTGTTGTGATGTCTCAGTTTACCTTCATCTTTACCTAGAATCCCACTTGTTAGTTCCCAGAGAAAAGCCCTGGTTAAACACAATATGTAGGTGGTGAGCAAGAAAGCAACAGAATAAGGAGAAAGTATGAGTTGCAATGTTTTGCAGTGGTGACTTTGTGTTGTGGAGATGCTGCTTCTTGCTACAGTTTCTTATCTTCAGTGCCTCTTTGATGAGGGTCTTGTTCAACTCGGTTGTAATGGATATGAAAATCTATCCTCCGCATGTTGACACTTATTGATGTGTATCTAACTTTAAGCATGTTGTGATATCAGTCTTCTTTGTGGTTTCAGCCTGGCAGCAGGTTGGTTTTGTGCATTGCTCTTGGTTGCTGTGTGCAACTTGATTATAACAAATAAGCAGTTAATGACAACCTTGACGGGTTCACTACATGAAACCGCAAAAATGTTTTGCCCAACTCAGCTGAAAAGCTAAAATAATACCCAGTTGTACCTGTAAGCAGTACTCTGTTTCAGTGCTTCATATAATGTTTGCTATTAATTTCAATGAAATGCTAAAATTTGAGGGTTTTATCCTGTCTTACCTTTTAAAATTTAGGATCATTAGGAGTCAACACACAAAGTTGGACTGACTTGAGGTAACTATGTTACCTGATATTTAGGATGGGCTATAATGACTGTAACATCCTGTTTTGATGACTGTATTTTAGCAACCCTGAAGCGTAATGGAGGCAAGCAGCTGCTGAGCTAATGTTCATCAATTTACCATGCTACACCAGAGGGACTCACAGTGAGGTGATGCATCCATGAAACAGCAGTGCATCCTCAATTACCCCACAAACCTTTCTGTTATTAATTAATTTATTCATTTGTTTGTATCATGCATATCCTGATAATATAGAGTGTCACCAGGGAAGTTAATAGCAGCATATTAACATAACTCAAGGTGAAGGCAACATATTATAACACCAGACACATGGTTTACTGAAAGGAACCCAATGTCAAGCTCCAAATCTAATTAACCATAGGGTAAGAGTTGTTGTTAGTAACCTCACAGTGTGTGTAGAAATACTTTTACACTTCTCATAATAACATAGAAGTTCTCTAAAACAGTGTTTTTGCGCTTTTGCTTCATCGTAGAGCTGCATGCAGCCCAACACACACACACACAAACACATTGACCACAGACCCGTCTGTCATGGTCGAACTGGCCACCGGAAGAAATCCTGCCGATGGACCGTCAGAAAATCCATAAAGTTTTTACCGGCCCTGTCTGTCTCTTCACCGGCCCTCTCTGTGTGCCTGCGTGCAATGAGAGCTTGCCCCCACCTCAACCCCCGTGTTAGGCGTTGCATGACCACGGCATTGTGGTTATGCTGTTATTGTCACAGCCCTATTCACTATCGTCAAAAGTAATATTACTGTATCACTGATGACAGAGATAAATGGAGGGTTGCAGATGCAATGGATTATCTGTATACATCTGAAAAGTAGGGCTCGTGTAGGAGTTGAATGCAGTTGAATGAGGGTGATGCAGAGGCAGGGAGAAACGAGGGGAAACATCCTGATGTGAAACAAACCGTACGATGCTTATCCCAGGCCCACCCACCCAACTCACACACATTTCCAGGCTTGTCTAACTTGGTATCCAATGAGGGGTACTGCTTGTCCTGTGCCGTTGCAGCACGTTGACAGGCCCGTGGTGTGTAATGGACTGTGAAGTCGCCCCCCCCTTCCCCTTTCAACTGTGCATGTCTATTAGAGAGAGATTGAGAGACAGGGAGAGAGAGTGTGTGTGTGAAAGAGAATACCTCAGGCTATGTCCTCTCATAATACCAGTGCCTGAGCTAAAAGGGCTGGATTCATTGTCACATTGTCAGGAGCACAGCTAGATGAGACCTTCCTTCCTTCCTTCCTTCCGTTTTGCCCTTTCCTTGCGTCCTCCTTTCTTTCTTTCCTTTTAAAGAAATTCCTCTAGAGCTCTCTTTGCCTTTTTTTCTCCATCCTGCTGGGCTGCTCTTTCAGATTCTGCCCGCCATTCCCTCTTCTTCATTTCTGGATCAGTCTCTGCTCTCTTCTTGCTCATTTATCCTCTTAGCTTCTTTACTCATGCTTTTGATTTATTTTGCTTTTTCCTTTTTGTCTTCTCTCCGTCAGACTCGGCAGTATTCTGAGGTTCTTGTAATATCTGACAATCACACGTGTTTGCACACAAATCGGGTAAAGCAGCTGTGACAGTTTCATGAGCTCAAAGAGTAACAAACAGAAATGTCATCTTAGCTTTACCTAAGATGGCAGCCATTTGGCATTTTGTAAGGGGATGAACATTCATACATATCGTCTTCTGTTGTTGAATGGGAAAGGGTAGTGGTACCTCTAGGTAATGTTGTTTTTCTTCTGACATTATTTCAGGAGCTTTGTGTGTTTTATTCCCCCTGATTTCTTGTAGCCGCCTGCTGCTTCACCCTGACCATCTCATTCTCTGGTTATCCATTTCTCTCATGCCTCTCAATCTCCTATCCGCTCTCTGCCTTGTGCAATCGTACTTCGAGGAACACTGAAGCATGAAAATCCATTACCACCTAATGGAGTCCTGAGCTCTCTGCCTTGCACTCTAGTCATTGTGTATTCTATTTCTATTATTTTCCTTTGCACTTTATTTTTTCCTTTATGCACTTTGTGCTTTATGTTGTCATTGTACAAGACATGGCGACTGCCGAGCGCGTGATTCCTCGTAAAGTATAGCCTGCTACAGAAAGACCTACATAAGTGTGCATTCATCATGTTCTCAGTTATTTGTTGACACAGTCTTAAATGCTTATGTACAGTTTGTCATTAGTTAAAGCTAATGAGATTAGTAGGGTGAAACAAAAGATTTCTTGTAGCAGGATGTAACGAGTTTATGGGTTGTGTAATGGCTTTTCTGGTAATATAGGAAAACAACATACCATATTGAGGAAAGACAGTTTGACATAGATATAGTTTGCTCATTGAGAGGATGCTGAGCTAATGTTAACTGATTTACCATGCTACACCAAAAATGCAGTGTCCGACTTAAAGACATTGCTAGCTACAGGCTGGTTTATTTCAGCCTGTTGAGCTAACCTTGCCACCTCCTTGTAAAGATTTGGTGAAACGAGGACTTGCAACCCGGCAACCAGGGTGAACTCTGAGTATGACCGAAAGGAAACAGAGAAAAGCCGCCTAGAACAGCCATTATGCTATCTTTTAAGGATCTACATTCAGGGCAACTTGCCAGCTGACCTAATCACCCTGCATAATGCTGCTCTGAAATGTCACATTCTTTTTATTAAACGCAACAGCTCACAGTGGGTCTAAGAATATAACCAGATGCTTGTGTTGATTGCTAGTGGGCCAGCCTCTATCCTTTCTTCAGCTGATTTTGCGGAGGTAAAATAAATGTCTCCAGGACGACAATGTTGACAAGTGTCGCAAAGTAAGTTCTTGTTACACTGCTGGAGACATCAATTTCTGAAGTCTTGAATCAACAAGTTCCATTTTCTAAAAGTTTACTGCAGGAAAACCACCAGTTTCCCGAGGTGTATTGCCTTTGGGATGGTCCTGTTGTCTTTTTGTCTCTTCTTCCATCCTTCATCTCTCCTCTTCCATTTGATTTAGCTCCTCATCTGTCATCTGTACTCCGGTTCAGATAAATACGGTCAATCGTCAAAGTGAAATGACTCGTAAAAGTTTCTGTGTTTACTTTCAGTCAGACTGAGAGAAAAGTGTTTGAAATACAGCAGAAGAGCAGCTGGTGTATTTGTTTGCAATACCGCCAAACAGACTTGTTTTCATAAAGATGTCAGTCAATAATTGTCCTTTTTCCATCATGCCATTAGCAACCACCATCTGATTTCATGCTGCACGTGGTAGGAATAGTTTTCCACGCCACAGCAGGGTGCAGCAAAGTTGGTTACGTTGCTCAGAAGTTAGATGTGTGCAGCCTGTAGCTCTTCAGCTAACAGCTCAATAAAAGCCACCCTCTGAACAGTTATTATGAAGCAGCAGCAGTAGTAGCAGTAGATTATTCATTTATTTTTTTAAATTTAGGACTGTCGGTCAAAGAAACCAAGACAGAGAACTCTAAATCACTCTTGGTTCATATAGAGGAAGTTTTGTAATTGAAAGGTCACTGTTTTTTAACTCTCTTGTCAATTTGAATTTGCTCGATGAGATCTTCCACTCAACACCTAAGATATGGAGGACTTCCACTTTTTAACACTTGTCATCTCCCCAGGACTAATTTCAGTTTATAGTTCATTGTACAGTTTCCTTCACTGTGGAGAAAAGAAGATGTATTCGTCTCTTAGGGTTTTACAAACATGCAATTCCACAGGGAAAGGACAGTGATTCATCATTTCAAACCTCGGAAGTGTGTGTTGCTTTTGTGCTCACTTATCTAATGGTGTATCAGCATTTAACCCAAGAAATGAATTGGGCTTCTTGGATTTCTTGCACACTCAGAGTGAACTAAGTGTAGGCGTATTCTCTCTCTCTGACGTCTTTCTCTCTGCTGTCTAAAATAAAGCTGGGGCCCACGCTGTATACTAAAACAAACACCCTACTTAAGTAGTATATTTTTCCATTCCGGATGATGTGTGTGTGTGCGTGTGTGCACGTATGTGTATGTGTTCTGTGTGTGTGGGGGGCTGGGGGGGTATTTGTGGGTACACTGACCCATGTCTTTTCTCTTGGCTTTTGTTGTGATTGACCCATGCTATTTTTAGGGCACTTAATTGGTTAATTTGTAACCATGTTT